CTCCAAACCGCCCGTTTTGGGTCTGCTGCCTTTTCTGCACAGCAGAGAGCCCCGACGTCGGCTTTCATTTCTCCCGTGGGCTGCGGGTTCACTCGCTCATTCTGAGGAAGAAACATCCATCAGGATTGAGTGAAGATCAACCACAACGGGTACAATGATCTGGAACAGGGCATCGGCAAAGTCCTTCAGAACGGCGGGCCGATAGTTTTACCTGGTGTGAACCCTTGTACGTCGAGATTTATCTCGCTTTCTCATTTTCAAGGAACATTTTCTGCCTGACGAATAACAGTATTTCTTTCCGTGTGCCCACGATCCAGCAGCAAGCGAAGGTAGGTATAGATTTAACTACCAGTTATTTAGTCCCTGGCGGTTAGATATTCATTAGATACTTGCGCTTTATTGCAGGTACAAATACAAAAGCAAGATATTATCCACAAGAACACAGGCAAGTCTTCTAAATCCTGCCTTTACCTAAGAATTGTTCCATAAAAATATCAGTATTTTCAAGCACATGGTATACGCCTTTCCCCTCTAGCTGAAGTAAGAAATACAGGTGGTATCTCCAAGGCTGGCAAATACTTTAAATGTTAATTTACTAGGACGCTTCAAAATTTGTCTAAGAAGGTGTCAAACTGTCTGGAAAGGAGGGTTTTTCTCCAGCTCGGAGAGGTACAGTACGTACAAATCAAGTGAGCATCCGCAGCGCTGCAGGACCAGCTACAGCGCGGGGGCATTCTCCAGCGAGTCCAGCTCGCTGTGGTTGACACCTCTAATTAAAGCTCACGTTCACACACTCATTCTCTTTTCTGGTGTTCTCTATGAAAGTTACATCACAAGTTTAAAAATACTGAAAAATCCGAAAGTAATTACACATCACTACCTGCAGTATATACTTTTTCCTCCATTATATACTTTTTCCTCCATCAAATGTGCACACACAGAATAATCTTCTAAGCCCCTCTTCCCCCCACCTTATAAAGCTCCGGAAAAACAAACTGAAACCTTTTACCACATCTCCTTCCAGTGCAGACCAGAAGGAAATCAGAAATTTCCTCTGCCAAAATTCTTCAAGCCTACTGTTCACAAGTCATTGTCCGTAACAAAAGAGATTTTCTGTCCGAGGGCCTGCTTTCGGAATGCACCTACATCATTCCTTCTGCGTGTTTTGCAGAAGTGGCATGACCAGCACTACGAGATAACTGATGCTCTAACGACGACCAAACGCAGAAGCAAGGGGAGGCCAACAGTATTATCCATGGGTGAACCAACGAGAGCAACGGGAAGCGGAGAGGGATTCATCCCACAGCGGACTCCTGGGAGGCTCAGTTCACCCCGGCCACCCGATGTGGGACGTACTCATCAAAAATAGTCGTATCTAGCTCCTCTAAAGCAACTGGTTATTCACAGTTAAGACCAGAACTTGGTTAATCTCTATCAAGCACTAACCAGCAGCCTTAATCACAAGCCCATCCATCCACAGATATTCCTGTTTTCCTGGACAGGTGAAGGCTGACATCAGGGATTCAGCACCAACAGCTAAAAAAAATCTGCCACGGGCAGAAAAAACCCAACGGAAAATCACGTGTAACGAGCAGGAACCTGGCTCGGTGGAGCTGCAGCCGAGGAGTTGTGCTGCCTGCTCCTGGCGCTCAGGCTAGCTCTGAAGTCAGGGAGGTGGCAGAGAGGGCTCTCCGATGGGTGATTCGGCTTAGACATTAAGGGAATTTATCAAAGGAAAAGGAGTGGGGAAAAAACCAAAAGGGAAGATAAAGGAGGGGAGGAAAAAAGAGAAGACATTTATAATTAGTAGTTGGTAACATTTTT